CTCACTTGGAATACTTTGTGTAGTCTTGATCTCCTTATCTAAAGAATAATGTTGACATACTAGAAAGGGTTCAGTGGAGGGTTACTAGGATGATTATGGAGATAGAAGAATAGTTTTACAGAAGTGGGTTAGGATCTCTTAATTTACCTTTTCTCGAGATAATAATGGTAATAGGTGATTTTCTTGAAGTTTACAAGATTATCCGAGAATCGTAAGGATAAAGGTAACTGATTTCTTTGTGTCATATTCTGAAGATAATAGGACAAGAGAAGAGGACAGATCTTCAAGATTTTGAAAAGACAGACTAGGCTCCAGTTATGATAATTGTGTTTTTCTATCAGGATAACTAAATTAAGGAATGAGTTATAATCGACTGTAGTGAAGTCTTGTTTGTTCATTTTTAAGCGCAAAGCTACACAATGGGCTTTTTGTGTTGTACAAGCCTTCAAGATTACCACATGGAGGCAGTAGTTGAGGCCAGTGTTTTACAGTTATTTATTAGGAGAATCGATGATTTACAAAAGAATAAAGATTGAGTTAAAATGGTCCTTCGTTGTCCTTAGGTTAGGTTATATTATTTGTTCTCTTGAAGTTGTGTCAACACCATGAGCTTCCAAGAGGTGTATTATTATTATTACGATCACAGATAGACTGTTTTAACTTTATGTGTGGTTTTCTATCATTGATGACATCCGATACTTTTTCAAGTAAATGAAGATGTTGCACAAGATGAATGTTTATCATAAATAGGTTATAACTATTATCGAATTGAAACTGCCTGACACTTTCTGTTGCTGCCTTTAATTAACATAAAAGTCATAAAGTTTTACAAAATTGTTTAGGTCTAAGAGTTAAGTTTACTGATATAGTCTGGAGCCCAGAAAGTTTCATCTAGATGTAACTACAAAAAATAATTATTATAGTTTACTTTGAGACTGATAAAGTGAACACTGATAAGTAATTTCTACAAGTTATACTCGTTTCCATTCACGCATTTTATCACAATATTGATTTAACCCTCGCCTATTGACGTTTAATTTTTCACCATTTATATAGCTTCAGATGTAAGGTTTACAGTCACCAAATCCGAGCTGCTCCAGTTCATTGCTTTGAAGAAAATGTTGATGATAAAGAAGAATGACAGAGAGAAAGATTAATCAATCTTGCAAAGCAAAGGTATTGCAGAGTGAGCTGTCACTAACATCTCTCAGGAACAACGACTGCCTTGCCAAAATCAGCAAGGAGTTGCATGACAGAAAACTGACGTTGACTAGTAAAACCAGTAAACTGTGGCTTCAGTACATGTTAATGGTGCACATAATGAAATGTTTCCTGAAAGCAGAGAGAACAGGAAACTGGCTTTTGCATTTGGCTGTTGTATAAGAGTTGCTACCATACTTAGCGACTGCTGGAGAGAACCTTTACACAAAATCTGCTTATCTCTACTTGTAACTAATGAACCAACTAGAGAAAACTCATCCTTATGTTCACAAAAGCTTCAATGATGAATACCCCATTGTTTGACGTAGCAACAGACATTGGGCTGGTCTTTCATCTGACTTAATTATTGACCAGACTCTGATACGAAGTGTGAATTCAACTGGGGGATTAACACATGGAAGAGGAATGACCGAGTCACAGCATACTAGCTGGCTCCTGTCCATGTAAGCATATGCTGAAATGAACAACGTGGTGTAAGAAGTTGCAGAAACACGTCGACATACGAGTGAACAACACGTAGAGGTGGGACCCGCAAGAACGTCAAAAGACACAGAGGATATGATGTCTATCCTTTCATACCTCCATGGAAGAAACCCATTTGCTGCAAACCCCATCCTCAGAAACAATGTGACTGGTGTTGTTGATGATGCATCTGCAAATACCTACAAAGCAGAGGACGCCGACCTTCAAATAATCAAAAGCATAGAAGGTCATACTGCAGCAGAACTCACCCTGAGAAGAAAAAGACCAAGTTATGACACTTGGGGCATAAACGTTAGTGAAAGACGATGGGACTCATAGCTACTCTTTTAGCATTTAGTGGCAGCAGCTAATGTGACTTATGAAGACAAGAAAGAGGTCTTACAATACGAATTTTGCAGCTTCCCATCTTTGCTGTTTGATTCCCAAGACTTATTTGGGCAACCAAACAAAGCATCACTAGCTGGTGAAATTTGGGACCTTGTGCAAGACATCGCCCCAAGTCGATCACCATCCAAAGATTTGCAGTTTGTGCTTGATGGGGGCTCCTTACTGCAGCGACTACAGGCACCATGGAAACGTGAAAGAACTTTTCAGAACATCAATGGTACTTGAGGATGACATAACCTTGTTGAAACGTCGTACAGTTATGATAAAGTTTTCTTCATTACCCAGTCAAGCCTTCTCCAAACTTTAATTTATATAAAATGGGTTCCTTGTCATCAAATCATTGACTCATACATCCACTTTGTTAGTGAAAAGTATCCCAAAGTAGTTATCGTCTTTTATGGGTATATGTCTGGCCTTCGACAAAAGATGTGACCCATCTAGAATGAAGGAGGGGACTCTAAGGAACGGCAGTACACTTTGTGTCTGACATGGTGCTTCAATCCACAAAATACCTCTTTCTGGCTAACAAGGAGAATAAGTAGTGCTTTATCTACGCACTCGGAGATACTTTGCTGGCATCATCATGTATTGTCATTCTTGCCAAAGGTGATGCTGATTTGCAGATAATAATGGAAATAACGAATTGTGCGAAAGGAGAGCTTAGATGAACTGTGCCACTAGCTGTTCTGCTCAAAAGTGGCTGCTGGAACGATGTTTGTGCCAACTTCAGCGGGATGGTCTCAAGTCAAAATAATATGGCCGGAAGATTGAGAACAACTTCACTGTGCCAGTCATGATTGACTTGCCCACAGCATCAGCAGACCTACTGAAGATAATTCAATGCACTTGCCGCAATTACTGTGACACAAAGCACTGTAGCTGCAGAAAAAGCTGACTTCAGTGTTAACTGGGTTCTGACGAATGTTGTGGTATAAGTTGTGTCAATTCTCATTCCCTGTCTATCGAATGGGATGTACGCTTTTGGACAGGTAGGCTTTTTCACTGATTCACAAGTTGATAGTTTGTTCTGATTTGGCACAAGGGCTACACAGTAATTTCCACATTCAACTTTTTATTCCTAGCTCAAACAAGAATGTATCTCATTTTATATTTAAAATTATCTTTCGAAGCTCTTTCAAACGAGGTCTTACATGGTGGAGTTATACTTATTGTAACAGCATGCATGATGACTGTTGAGAAACGATTTTATTAAAGTCAATATTAAATAATCATAGATCAATAAATTTGTAATATTATCATTTATTTCTGTCTTTTCTTTGCTAATCAAAAATAATTTGTTAAGATCTTTACAATGAGATGCTGCATGATGATGTTTACAGTGGAAACAGCAAGTTAGTGGTTTTGTTTAACTATGACGTCATCAAAATCAATATTTCGAGATTATGCAAAGTCACAGAAAAGTATAACTACCGTGGAAGTTAAAGGGGGTTCATACGAGTATAAAACAGCAGACAACAATTCTTTTGAAAAGTGGTTTGGTCGTGGTACATTTTGGCATAGGGTCACCAGGCTAATATGTGTAATCAAATACATATTCAGTTATTCGTATAGTGCTGCTCTCTGTTGTTTCTTTAGTAACTTAAAATCTTAAAAGCAATAATGTAGTTTAACGTTCAGATCAGTACAGAAACCAAATGGATGCTACAAATATATTTCATTTTGAATTTCATATATACGCTTGCACGTTACACGTCAACTACAACTGGAATGCAATTGTAAACCACGGTAACCTAATATTTATATTCAAGAAAATCTAAAAAAATGAAACTTCTTTAAAAAATAAGAATTCATATGTATTTGAATTTATTTTGCACAGAATAACTCATTCCATTTATTGTAAAAAACTAAGCTATCGTTTAGTTATAAAATGTTATTATATTTACAATTTAAGTTATTTCATTGTGTCTTTTCAACCTTATACTTTCTAGATAAAGTATGTAAAAATATAGCAAAATATCTGAATAAAGATATATTTATTTTCAGCTTAAAACAGGCTATGCTAAATTGTATTAAACATATTGAAATTTTAAAATTTTATCACCAACTTTTAAATGATGTCCCGTAAGAAGTGATATTGTTTAGATTAATTCATTACTATACCTATAAAACCCGTAGCTTTTCAGGAACAGTCTTGAAAAGTGTTGCATCTGTCTTAGAATTTTTGTCCAAATTCTCTCAACCACAAATGATCTTATCAGATGACGTACCTATGAAAATGTAATGGCTATCGCACTTTTTTTTTTATTCATGGAACCTGTCTTTACTTGTTTGTTTGTGTCAAGGGTGGCACATGACGACCTACACGAATGTTTTTGCGTCTTAGCTCATCCACCAAGTACTTATATTTTTACAGCTGAATTTTTTAGTATTTTTATATCATTTTTATATTTTTGTTAAAAACAACGGTAATATTTTATTTGTATGATATTTTCTGTTTGATTCGAAGAGAAAGAGAGCGAGAAGGAAGGAACATATAGTACTATTCAAAAGATAAAATATGCATTCAACTGACCCCCCAAAAAAACAACAAAAAAAACAACAACAAGAACATTAAATTCCAAATGAGAAAAAGAAAACAATTAATGATTAATTATGGTATTGTAATCAAAATCAGCTTTGGAATATAACGTTGAACATTTATGTTTGCATTCTATATAAGTTATCATAGAGAATGCTTAAAAATAGGTTAAAATATAATATAATTTAAGTTTTGCAATTTATGTGCTTATTTTATTTTCAGGAAAACAGACTTTGTATACCCTTTTAGTTAAGACTATCCCAAATGTTTGTGGTTTATGTAAGCAGTTTTTGATTGCTCAATCTGTTAATCATGTGATCCTTAACTCGCTCTATTATTTGCTGACTAGTTTGGCGCACTTTACGAAGGAACTTTTCGCGGGTGTCTTTGTAATCGAATTTTTATCTTTGTAGGAGCTAGTACTAGTAGTTTTCTCGTTCCTAGTTTACTCTTACCTTTGTTCTAACTAAACACTCAGTGTTTAAAACAGGTATTTTAATATACTTCAAAATGCTCTCAGTTGTATCTCCACAAAAGTTGAATGCTCGTACAAAAGCAAAACCAGAACATTTTAATGAAGATAGTGAAGTTAAAAATACATTAAATAAGGAGAACAAGGTTGGTGGATTTACTATTTTAATGTATTTGTTAATATTATTATTAATAACTTGTGAAGTCTCACTGAGTGACCGAAAAATTTGTGAAATATCAATGTTGTCATAAATTTAGGTTGTAACTCGTTTATTGTAATACAAATGATGAAATAGTAGTAGTAGTAGTACAACTTACAAGTATGTTTTAATTTTTATTATTTTAACTTAAAATGAATTCATTAAGTGAACGTAATTCACTAATTGAATAGCAGTACCAATAGCTACGAGTTAAGCTTCATTTCATTTTGAACTTGAACGGATAACAAGGGTCCATTTAGGTTATCCCATTTTTCACTACCAATCGTAATACTAAATCTATTAGTAATAGTACTACCAATGTACCATAGTAGTTATTTTCTTTTTCAGTTTTTCCAAACTGCGTAAACGGTAAAGAAACCCCTTTTTCTGAACTCTTAAAAATATAAAATACTGTTTCAAATTCCAATATTTTTAAGGCATATAGATTACAAAATATTAACACCAAAAGTGTATTTTCAAAATGTTTTATGTATTCAAATCACAAGTAATTTTAATTTCAGGATCCATCTTCAGATTTTGTACACAAACAAAGAACAAACAAGGAAAAAGAAGTGAGTTGGGATTCCTAAGTTAGGTTAAGTATAACTAGTTAATTAAGCTGGAACTACTTAACTAGAAGTTAAACTATTTTTAGGTAATAAAAAAGTATTTAAACAAGAACATTAATAAAATAGACTATGCTAATTTTACAGCTTATTGTGGCTATACAGTAAAGTGATGTTATCTGTAGGTTTTAGAGTTAGACTGGAGTTTGCTAAAAGTGAAGTGTTTATGTGCATCAGATATGTAAATTAGACGTTTTTTTACTCTCATTTTTGTTTTTATATCTTTGTGATAAAAAACAAAAACAAATTTATATATACCATGAAGATTACAAGTCTGAAGAACATATCCTCTGCCATTGGTATAAAAAAATTTCAGATAATCATTTCTGACAATGAGATAAAACTTTTATGTTCAAGTTCCTAACAAATGAATGTTACATTTGTAGGGTTTTCAAAGATCTTATCAGAATAATACAAAAGTAGTTGCTGGGGATGTTGATGCTGAGCCCTTGCTGCGAGAAAACCCTAGAAGGTTTGTAATGTTTCCCATTGAATACCCAGACATCTGGCAGATGTACAAGAGGGCAGAGGCTTCATTTTGGACAGCAGAAGAAGTTGACTTATCCAAGGATGTATATGACTGGGAACAGTTAAAAGATGAAGAAAGACACTTTATTTCTCATGTCTTGGCTTTCTTTGCTGCTAGTGATGGGATAGTTAATGAAAACCTTGTAAGTAATTCTTCTAACTCTATCCTTTTATCAGTGTGTGTGTGTGCATGTGCATTGCTAAAGCTGGTTCTACAAGTAAGGTTGTATGCATGCAAGAATTGTAAGCAAAACATGAGTTAAAAATCCTGTACTGATATTGATCCAAGTGTACAAAAGAAATATCAAAGGATTAGTTCTCTGTCTCCCTAGTTGCAATTTTTGCATTCAAGAAGTAGTACAGAAATTAGACATTTTTTTAAAGTTGAAGAATTACAAAATATTAAGCTTTTATATTTAAAGTGTTTCTCTTAAAAATCATAATTTATTTATTAACTTAGTATACTCCAAGGATTGTATTAATAGGAGCAGTATTTTATCAGACATTAATTATTAGTAAACTTGCCCCTATTCTCTAGTGGAGAAAGAAGTTTATAATTGTTTTTTAAATGAGGACATTTATCAGCTTTTTCAAATGACAGAATTAATTGGTTTTACAGGTCGAGCGATTTAGCCAGGAAGTGCAGGTAACCGAAGCTAGGTGTTTTTATGGTTTCCAAATTGCCATTGAAAATGTTCACTCAGAAATGTATAGTTTGTTAATTGACACCTACATCAAGGATCCAAATGAAAGGTTAGTCAGTGGAGCAAGATGTACAGATTCAGGTGAAATTTCTTTAAGTAAGATAACTATTTCTTATTTATGATTACTTTACAGTTATGTATGTTTGTGCAAAGAATTAATAGCACTAACTGAACAACATAGAACTGGCCCAACTTTACTCTTATGATACTTCAGGTTTTGAACATAGTAAGATCCTACCCACCCTAGAAAAAATGTAAAGAGAAAAAAGCTGACAAGATTGTTCATTTCAAGCAGTAGTGATTACATAAGTACATCTCTACTTACATAATGAAAAATAATTGAACTTGCAATCAACATTTAAATGTTTTAAACAAGTGAAAAGTTTAAACCTGTAATACTAGTGATTTTCTAAGATGTTTTAATTTTGGATTTCTGTGATTTTAGAATGAGACTTTTCAATGCAATTGAGACCTTGCCATGTGTAAAGAAGAAAGCAGACTGGGCTCTCACTTGGATTAGCCATCCTACAGCAACATTTGGTGAGCGAGTTGTGGCTTTTGCTGCTGTAGAAGGAATATTTTTCTCTGGGTCTTTTGCTTCAATTTTCTGGCTAAAAAAGCGTGGCCTGATGCCTGGTCTCACTTTTAGTAATGAGCTGATCAGCAGAGATGAGGTAAACTGGGGACTTCTGCTTGTTTTGCTTTCAACTGTCCTAGTTTTAAGGATCTCTCTCTCTCTCTCTCTATATATATATATATATATATTGAATACTTTGTTATGAAAAATTCTCATAAAAACCACTTATTTTATTATTCATGTTTTGTCTTTTTTGTTTCCTGTGTTGTGGTGCAAAGTTCTCTTAATTTCATTATATTTAGAATTTTCTACATATGTATGTATTTGTTTGAAAAGCTATGTACCACATTTCCATCAACCAAATTTTATTTATTTATATATTTTTAAACTGATTTCAGAATGAACTTTGGCAAAACAAAATTTTTTTGTTTCGAAACAGAAAAATATTCAGGTGTATATTGTAAGTCCCAGTAACAAGCCAAAGTCTGAATAAATTATTCATAAGATATGTCCATAAAAAATTTAAATTTACTTCTGTAAATTAATGCTTGTTCTTAAAATTCTAAACACAGGGTCTACACTGTGATTTTGCCTGCTTGCTGTTTAGTCATCTTGTCAATAAACCATCCAAGGAGAGAGTAGTGGAGATTATTAAAGAAGCTGTGAAAATTGAACAAGAATTTTTAACTGATGCTTTACCAGTGGCTTTGATTGGTATGAATTGTCAATTGATGAAACAATACATAGAATTTGTTGCTGATCGTCTACTACTAGAGCTTGGCTGTGATAAGGTAAATTTTGAAACTGGATTAATGAAAAGTTTAGGAGCATTTATGTGTATATTCTCTGGATATTAATTTTGTTGTCAAATATTATAGCTGGTATACAAAAACACTGTTTTTAATTAGTTCTGTGAACTTATTGATTGTGAAAGACTTAATTATATGAAACTTTATATTAGCATAGTATTTTTATAATCCAGTTCTATCTTGTTTTCTCAGGTTTACAATGGAGAAAATCCATTTGATTTTATGGAACATATTTCTTTGGAAGGCAAGACCAACTTCTTTGAAAAGAAAGTGGGTGAATATCAGAAGTGTGGAGTCATGGCTAAACGGGAAGAGCATAAGTTTACTCTTGACGCTGATTTTTAAATATGAGTCATTACTCATTGATGAATTTCTTGTGATAATTGAATATTTGAGAAAGTAGGTTTATTTTTTCTCAAATTTTAACTTTTTAATGTTATGTTTTATGTAGCATATTTTACACTAGTTTTAAGAAAGTATACTGTTCATGGCAAAGAAGGGTTAATTTTCTTGACATAAATGTATAAAAGAAATAAAATTTGTCTTCAAAGACGATCTGAAACTTTCCTGTCAGTGTGAGAAAATTTTTTCGAATGACTGGGTATCAAAGATGGCTAAGTCCAAGTAATGTTTGTCATAGTAATAATAAGTTACATATATGCATATTTTTTGATGTGACAGTTTTACTTTTTTTACACTTTAAATAATTAAAGATTGATATGTAACTTTAAGTTTAAATGAATTTTTAAGGGTAACTAAGTTGCAGATGGTTTTTAAAATTTTAGTAACAGAGAGCCTACTGGCGCATATTATCAAGCTACCCTGTTTTTTTAATAAGCTTCACAATGTGTTATATTACACTAGACATTTGTAACAAAATACACTCCATACTTAAATCACATATTTCTAATAACACTTGCCTACATTATGTTTAGTAAAGAGGAAATTCTGCTGCATCTGTTATTCATGCAGAGATTATTTGTTTAATCAACAAAATGTGTTTATAAACTAAATGTTAGATAAGCTTAACTTTTGTTGTAAAAAAAATCAAGACTTGTGAGCATTAAATATTCTTTAAGTTTTACAATATTTGAAAACTAATAAATGCATTTATTGCTACCTGTTATGTCTACTACACATATTTTTTTTGACTTGATAATTGGCTAAAATTTTGTTGTGAAAATGTGTTTGCTACCAATATGTTTCTGAAGTTAGCAGATTTCCTACATGGACCACCTCTCCTGTGAATGCAAATGAGTGTGGGTGGATTGCATGAGTATTCCAGATCCAATGGGAAACAGGAAAATAGTTCATCTATAGCTCTTAAGGAAATAAAACAGCAAATTAGCTATATAAATACAATTAATAAGTGTTCATTAGTGCCACAAGTTAATGTTTCTGGTGCTGTATGGGTATTTTGGCACTAGAATCTAGCACCAAATTTGCACCCTTGCTAGGTACATGATTTGTTGGGGCTAAATCCTGACAATGTGTGTCTTGGGACTACAAATGATCAAAATTAAGTTCTAACTATAAAGCTGTGGCAGTAGCATACCAATTATTGACATGATTAATAGCTTTTATGATGCTTTAAGTTTAATTATATACTGAATTCATTTGTTTTAGTTACCAATTAATTTTACCTATCATTTTTGCTGCTAATCTAATGATATCTTGCAGAGAACTGATCATAGCACGTGTTAGCAGCAAATATTTGAACAGTCTTACTGTTGAAAAGGCATGTTTGCTATCCATTTCTTTGGGCTTCCATCTCATTGGACTTCATTTTTTTTTACTTATTAACAACAAGGAACCATTTGGTCCATCCTTTAAGGCTGTTCTTGTACACCCACACTTCAGAAGAGAAAATTAAACCCACTTTCTTTCAAAAGTTATTTCACCTTTTAAACTTGTAAAGTGCTGGCCTCCACTACTGCAACAATAACTCATTCCATAATCAATTATCATGTTGGAAAAAATGCCTTAACTGGAGGAGTCTGTCTTTTCCAAATCTTAAACTTGTGTGTCCTATCGTCTTCAGAATATAGCACAAGAAATCAAACGCTTTTTTCCAATGAATTCTCTAGATTATCTAGTAATCTCCAATAAAATCACCTTTTGCCCTTCTTGTCACAAGAAAATATGTGATAGAAATTTTAACCCATCTGTATAAAATAACCCTTCCATCACTGGAATTATCATAATAACCCTCTTCATACCCTTTTCAATAAGTCATTATCCTTTCTTAGATAAAGAAACCAAAACTGTGTACAGTATTCCAAGCAAGGCCTTAACTAGTGATGAGATAATCACATCTTTTGACTTGTAAGCAATATGCCAAAAAAATCCTGTTATCTTTACTAGTAGCAACAGAACACTACAACAATGGTTTGAGTGACTTATTCCCCAGTATGCCAAGATTAATTTCTTCAGTCACGCTATTGAGTTGATTCTCATCTACATTCAAGTGTGATCCAAATTATGATAATTCAGGTTCATTATCTTACACTTATTACAATTAAAGGTCATTTTTCAAATATTTGTCCAACTAACCAATTGATCGAAGTCATTCTGTAGTATCTCAAAATCTTCAATACACATAGAAATACCCAAGAAGTGAATATCATTTGCAAACTTTATTAATTCTGCATCTATCAATATCAAAAATGTGAATGAGAAATTGCAAAAGTCTAAGCACTGACAATTGAGGCACTCAACTAGTGACCTTTATAAGTAACTGCATTCTCTCAACCTACAATCCATTTCACTTGTTTCCTCTTAACCCTCTCGCTGTGACTTATGGTACTTTATCAAAAACGTTTTTGTAAATCTATATAAACATTTTCATCATCCAAATGTAACATCCTTGAGAAAAGTTTAAAATGATGGACTCTTGCAAATTGATCCTTACTGGTTTTGTGTGCCTATTGTGCATTTCAATTATCGATTGTTGGTCATTTATTTCCATCAATATACTGCAATCCACATTCCCATGGGATACTTTTACTTTTCATTAAGTTCTTATTTATTTACTATCTGAGATTGTATTGTGTTGAGGCTTCAGTAGGCTGTTAGATATACAAGACTGTTTAATGTAGGCATTATTATTTAATTTATTTTGTGAGTTAGTATTTAATTAATTTTTCATAACAAGAGAGTTAAATGTTAATCATTTTAAAGGCGATAGTTAGGACAAGTTTGGTTACATAACTCGGTAAGAGTCGTACTGTTGTGATTGCAATTACATGGTTGTCAAGGCTTTACTAATACTGTTGACGTCACATTACTCAAGCTTTCACAATTTTTATTGCTACCTTAACAGAGTTATTTTAAATCGGCACTGTTTATGTACTTTACAGAAAGTTTGAGGTCTCGATGATCAATGTATAAATAATAGGCGACCAAGTGAGCGCATGTCAAGAGGTGAAGTAAAGTAGAGAAAAAGTGCAGTTCAGTCAGAAAAGGAAAATTATTTAAAATTCGAGATACAACTGTGTTAACTCACGGGGTAGCATAAGTGAATTATTCACTGATACTATTGTGATAAGAGCAGAAAAAAATAGTTGTCTTGTCAATTGGATTCTAAAGTAATTAAATCAGCCTAAGTGGACTTTTGACAAGGAAAGATAATTATTTAGTTTGAGATAAAACTGTGATTTCCTATAGTGTAAAATATTTTTGTACATACATTTGACTTGTTTTAATTATATACATAAAATCGTAACATAGGCTAATTTACAATATTTGCAAATCATCTGAATACTTTTTGCGAACTTGGCTTCCTTGGAAATTATAGTAGATTAACTGCTAAAACACAGGTTAAAAAATAATTTGTAATTAGTGACTATAATAAAAATTAGCTCTTAATTAATCTTGGGTGGCTTTTCAGCCTACTAAACATGACAGTAATTAACTAAAATTTGAAACTTTTACAAAATAAATGTGAGGCACTTGACTGAAAATATAATTGTGGTAAGTTTAATTGTTTTGTACTTGTTGCAGTAATTATCACTAAACAGTATGGAAGAATCATCTGCTATGTTGTATTCAAATACCTATATCAACATAAATTTGTTAAGATTATTTGTAGGTTAAGTAAAAGAAAAAATCTGGCAATTATTCTCCACATTTAAAAGCACACATATGACCAGTATTGCCAAGTCTGATAATGGTTGCTGCAATGTAGTTGACAGCTCTCTACATTAAAAGAATTTTAAGTTGGAAAATACCTATCACATCTTACTATATGATAAGAATAAAAGACTTTCCAAACATTAGCAAAAAATAAAGGTAGTAGCTACTTTTATGTGCAAGTTGTTAATTTTCACTTCTGAGGTTTTCAGTTTTTATTAGAAAAAATAGAAATTGGGCTTAATATAAGTTTCATGAAACTATTATCAAGAGCATGTCAGATATATAATTTTTTCTGGTCCTGTGTAAGTTCCTGAATGTGGTTAAGACAATTTTCAGAGAAGGTTCTGTCTCTGTAGCTTACCTTCTTTGGAATTCAAACATTCACCATGTTTGCTTACCCATGAAGGGGCAGAGAAGATCCTAGTGGTTAAGTGGTGCCTGAGTTACTTCAGTACACACTTTAGCTTTAAATTCCTATTTCTTATAGATGGGAAACCCCGAGATAGTTCCTTCAGGGTCATTTGTGACTAGGGTGAACCAAGTATTGGTATTAAACATCCCCAAAGAATGTTGTGGACTTTATGTTTGGTACTGATGTGCTTAGGTATAATTTCCACATAACCCTGGCATTGCTGTTCTCAGTGTGCTAAACTTTTGGCATTGTAGCACATACCATAGGACTCCATGGTGAGTGATTATTAAAACTCTTCCTCATGGATTTGGCCTGGCATAGCCACAAGTTCGAATCTCCGTCCCACCAAACATACTCGCCATTTTAGCTGTGGGGGTGTTATAACGTGATGGTCAATCCCACTATTCGTTGATGAAAGAGTTTCCCAAGAGTTGGCAGTGGGTGGTGATGACTAGCTGCCTTCCCTCTGGTCTTACACTGCTAAATTAGGAAGCACTAATGCAGATAGCCCTCGTGTAGCTTTGCATGAAATTCAAAACAACCAACCTTATGGATTATAAATAAACATGAAAAAATTAACCAGTTACAATCTCCTTAAAATTCCATACCTTAATTTCTGATTTTACAATCTTTATAAAAAATTTCATTTCCAGGTGATCTTCCTTTTTCATCCAAAGAGGCTTGCTGATTCTCCTATGTCAATAAATTAATTAAGATCTGGAGAACTGCTAGTTAAAACATTATGGCTACAGGACTGTGAACTTTTGAAGTCAAAGGTCATCAGGGGCATATCTATTGGAGTAACCCCTACAATATTTTGAATTCTCTTCCCCCCTGCTTCTGTCAATGTTAAGGCAGGTTATCTGAACTGCAAATTCTATCCATATACTCCAAACCTTCTCCGGTGTCTTCGCTGTCACTGGTTTTTGCACTCCATAAAGTCCTGTGGCTTTCTAGTCTGTTTGTTGCAGTGGCAAAGACCATGATAACCATACTGTGTTAATAACTTTGGTTTCTATATCTCATACTTTAGATC